ATTTATTTCAGTTCTTCGGCTGTTTCGAAATCCCTGGTAATATTTACTCCATCTTCGATAAGTATAATTAGGACACGATAGGACACTTATCGAATATGAACTACAATATTTCAAAGATACAAGTATTCCTTATCAACGAGAATAAAAAATCTGATTCTCACAAATACTTCCTAAAATCTCAGTTCAACGTTATCCCCTCCCACATCTGTATCGCGACATGTATTCCACGATTACAAGAGCAACGACGGTTCCTCGAGGGCCCCGGCGCTGTTCAAAGGTACACATCCTCGACAAACAAAGGCAAATATTTTTCCCCGTTTAACGAACTTCCCTGCAGACGTGTCACAGCATGGGCCAAGGTCTGCTCAAACGGTGCAAAACAGTAGAACGAGGGCGGTAGGGGGGGTACAATTAGCGTGCTCGTTGCGGTGGTTCCTGTTTCGCGTCAATTTAATCGGGACAATAAGCAAATGAATTCCCCTGGGATCATGAGATTTGATTTCGTTGGCGTCTTCACCGCGGGCGAGAGAAAGCGACCCTCCTCTGTCGTGCAATTTCGCGTTGTCGACTGGCGTCACTATGAAAACCCTCGATTGCACTTCGCGCGCGCGGTGCACTTCACTGGAAGCCTCCGTCCGCGTTTGCAACACGATGCACCTGGCTCTTCCTCCGTCTACTTCTATCTCTCCGCCTTTATCCAACACTCTCTTCCACTCTCTCTGTCCTCGATGCCGTGGAGTTTCGCGGGTCGTTGCGCGGCCGCCTCCCGCCACCGGGGCGGATGCTTACTTTACGGCGGCGGTTGTGTAACTGCCGGGCGTCGTCGCACCTCCCAGGCGTCGTGACGACAATTAAACCCCTCCTTTGAGCCGGGTGTCAATTTCGTCGGCGAATCAACTGATTCTATTTACCTGGAGGTAATTACCGCCATTGGCGTGGATCCGGTGCACACCGGGAGTCGGCTGTGAAACGGCCAATAATTCCTCGCTCGCCGCTTAATTAACGTGTCACGGATACTCTTTGCCTTGTCCATTTTCCCAACACTACCCACGGTCCCCTCCCTGTCCCTCCCACCCCTCCTGTCCCCTGTTCCACTCGAACAACCCTCTCCTTTTTCGGTTTTAATAAAGCGTCGCGATGCCCGAACGCCCGACGTCTGGCCGTAATTATTCATCGGCTCAAGCGATTTAACCTGAGCTCCAAGCGATTTTTCCCGAGCTCCTTCGCAGCCCCCCCGTTTCACGTTATTCCGTGGAGCCAATTATTTTTTTAATCCTTCCTGTACGACGTCCGACGCGATTAAAATATCGTCCGCGGACCCGCCCGAGCATCTGTTAATTACCTATCGATCCCGCGACGTCATTACCTAAGTGCTACATAATCGAAAGGTGGATCGAAGGAGGATGGGGATGAGGCGAACTGGAACGGAACGGGACGACTTTCTTTGCCCTGGACCGTCGTCGTTTCGCCGTCGACTAATCAATTTTCCATTCACCGTCACCCACTGACGAATGACTTGCGATCGGCCCAGAGTGGAACAGAGAGGGGTGGTTTAATAAATCAACATCCGTCGTCCTTCCGTAAATCCGTCATCAGTCTTCCAAGGGGCTAGAACACTACCATCGAGAGCACAGGGTGGACGAGAGTCGGTAGGCGTACGATCCCCACCCATCCCCTTGTCCTGTCGCCACGAACAAGGGAGGCCGGTGTGTCGTTCGTGTTCACGCCGACGAATCGATCCCGTCAAAGGGACAACGCGTACTATGGCCCTCGTGGGCTTATCGAACCGGTTCGGCCAGTTTCTTTTGCGTGTCCTCGAGAGAACCCCGCAACCGCGGTCGAATGTCGCGAAATCGTGCTAGACACGTTATGGCCGGACCGACACGTACGGAAACCTTGTATTCGTCCGCAATCGGAATATCGAGGCGGAGTCACGACACTGTAAACCGTGGAGCACGTTCTCCGTCAATGAACTAGCCGAGGGCTTGCGAGTCATGTCGCCTGGATTCGGGTTAATAGATAATAGTGTGCAACGATTTCTATATGTTGTTGAATATATACTTTAACACGTTGAATGCTGTGGGGGTCACCGGTGACCCTCACTCTAGGGAGTATACTTTTCAATATAATTTATATTGGATCGTAAATCGGTAAACTTCTAGAAAGTGAATGCCAAAAGTATGATAACATAGTTGACTTTAATAATTTTGTATAATATTGTATTCTTGTACACTCTGTGTAACGAAAATGTCACACAGAGGTGTGGTTGAAATGTACGGAAATTCTGCGGCAGTCAACGTGTTAATGATGAAACAATAAAATATAAAAATGGTGTTTAACAATCTTTCTCTTTCTCTCTCTGGAGAGAACACGTGCGTTTCAACGGTCGAAGGAAGAAGAAGAACGTTTCCTGGAAGAGTAGCGCCAGAAAACGAAAAACAGAAAACCCTTGCGGTGCCTCGTCCACGACATCTCGCGTCAACAGACACACACACACTCGTTACAAAGCGCGCTAAAAATGAAATACTCAACATATGTCAGTGCAAAACATATTCGAGTACAGTTTTTAATCCACTAACCAGGTAGGATCTTCTTAAAAGATTGACTTAGGTCAGACAAGGATGGTGTGTCCACTGTAGCTGTAGGATAATTTTTTAAGTTAATCTAGGTAGCAGATTAAAGTTTCGTCACACCCAGACCTCTCCCCTCTAAAAGATAACAAGATCCTCCCGTTTAACCTCCTCTTCTCAGGATTAACCTACCCAGTCATCTTGGGTATAAATACACCGTAGTTGATACGCTAATCAGTACTACCAACATCCTGAACAGCGTCTAATTCGGAGCCCCGTTCGAAGAATTCCGATGTAGAAAGATTCTCGAGGCAGCCGTTTTCCCGGAACGGAGGAAATCGAGTTTCCTTTAGGTCTACGATCGCAAAATGAAGGATACCCGAGCGTAAGCCAGAAGCCAGCCGATAATGGCTGCACACGATACCGCTATTTTCACATCGGCGGGCATAACCCACGAAGAATAGAATCCGGGGTTATCCGAGTGGCCTGGGCAATTTCTCGTGCGGCAGCGGCGGTTTGGACGGGCTAAAAAGTTCCTTCCGTGAAACGGATCGTAATAACGTTTCCCCGGGCCGTGTTCCGCGGCGTGAAATTTTATGAAGTCAGAGAGGCGAGGCCGGCTATCCCGGCCAGGCCGTGACTATCTCGCGTACACCCTTTATTAATCGCGAGATTACCTCCCCTGGTGGGAGGGAAAAACCTGGGCGAACCCATACACGATGGAGGCTGTTTGTATCGTCGACGAACGGCGAAGAGAGGAGCAGATATGGATGGACAGGTTCGTAGACCGACGGTGTTTTCCACGCCAGGCGGTCTCAGGCGGACACGTTCGAGTCGCCTCAGATACTCTCGCCTCGGACACTCTCTCTCTGTCGCCTCTTACGGACTGAGAGAACCAGTCTTCGCGTAGATAATGGATAACTACGTTGCACCGAGTGAGTGTATGTGTGTGGTACGTAGAGCGGTTTATCGCAAGCTCGCAGAGGGATGCCCAACGGCGGCTTATCGACTCGCCTCTGGCTTGACAGGCTTCTACGTCCTCCTCGAGCCGGCCTCGGAGAGGATCGGAAGATGATGAGCACTGATCGAAAGTCCGAAGAGACTTTTGGTGGTTCTCGAGGGAAACGCTGGACGGGTGACCGGAGTGAACCTTCGAATTCCTCGAGAAAGGGGTTATTCTGCTAGGGTTATTTGATAATCTTGAGGGATATCGTCAGATCGTGGATTCTATGCATTTTATGGAACATGTGAATTATGTTAAATATAGTGGAATAACAATTCTATGTAACGTTTTGAAAGACTATTTTTCACTTTCGAAACGTGATCTTCGAATCGTATCTCTACCTAACCTACTTTTGCTCTATTTTCCTCTTCCCCGTAGGTATTTATCTATTGCGTCAAGCTTCTTCATCTGTTCACTGCATCTTCACTTTTACTTTTCACGTAACGTTAATCAAGGTTAATTTACCAGATAATAAACTATTATTATTACAATCGTCAGGTTCCCAAATCGACACACGCGTCTCCTATATCGCAAACAACAATCCGGTAATTTTCACCCCGTATATGAAATCCTCTGTAAACAGAGTCCTTGTCAAAGCATGGAAATATCGTTCAGATAGACTCTCGACCGATAATACCTAGCCCTGGCTGATCCGACCACGCGTCTGAGAAACGATCACGGAAATTCCCTAGACTGTCGTGTACCGATTTTCCACCACGGATCAGCGCTGGCGACTTTTTTCGTCCTTTTATTTCTGCGGGCCCGAAACTGTCGCGCGATTCCCGGCCAGTCTTCTACGGATCACGGGCAGCCGGCAGCTGCTTAAGTCAGGAGCGAGTTCATTGCTTGCGGAGATTTGCGGAGCGACGGCGGCGGCGGCGCTTTGCTCGCGGATTACGCAAATTCGACAGTCGTCTGTGGATCTTGGTGGGGGATGGTGGACCGCCCACTGTGTTATCTCAGTGGGGAAAAAATGCGGGTTTTCGGGACAGCTGCGCGATGTCACTGCCTTCGCGGATGAATGTTAATTCAAATCCCGCTTCTAAATTCGAGACCGGACTTGAATTAAATCGACGAAGCGAGAGCACCGGAGGATTTTCGCGATTATTATAACGACTCTTCAAAAGGTTAAAACCCGTGACCAGGGATTTCGGGAGGGGATTTGAAAAAATTCGTCGAAAAGTTTCGAATTCCTGGAAGCTTGGATACACCGTGTTTGCGTATAATGGGGAAGAGAGGATGATTGCTGGAGGAACAAAGGGTAGGTAAATTCGTTGCATCCCCTCGAATACCTGATCATTAATTTAACACGGTGAAACGTGGATCGAGATTACCTGGAGTTGTACGCCATTAACGATCGTCACACGAAGATAAAAAGAAAATGGCATCAAAGTGGATTATTGGAACAACGTCCAGCATATACTTACAGATTGTAGTGCACGTCCGCCATGTTCGGTCGATAACGAAGCGCCTGGACAAACGCCTCCTCCGCCTCTGCGACTCGTCCCTGCGCGCTCAGAACACTGCCCAAATTACCATAAGCTGCAACAATCACAACGGAGAACACTCGTTACAAAACGGGCACCGGGAACCTGATGAAAAAAAGAACGAGACGACGGCGGGCGCCGATAAAGAAGCGGTAGGAGGTGAAACGAGCGTGTCTACGTGGGCGAGCTCGTAAAGCACCTGCTAATTCGATTCGGTTTAAGCCCGGCTGGATCGACGCGTTTGCGACTCGTCAGAGACACGTCGTTCTTTAACTCAAAGGAACTTCGCGCTCAAACTTGTGGGACATGTTTTACTTACGATCGTTTATCCGCGTTGACGAGTATTAACGAATTGGAAAGGGCGTTATAAAGAACAGGACGAGAAACTCCGAGTTTAAGACGACGTGAAATTTTACGTTCAATTTTACACGGGAGCTTTCCTAAGAGAATCGTGTTTAAATATTCCTGTTTAACTCTTAACAACCGAGTACTTTTGATTCTGTATGTAAATCCATGTGAAAATGTGTTGGACACTATTGGGTTGTTTAGGGTTAATAAAAAATATTGTCTTGCGTTGGGTTAATCGTCTTTCTAAGAGTCCAACGATTTTAATCCACGCGAGGAAAGTAAGAAAACGTGGAAAAGTTAACTTCGCTACGGTCGAGTAATTTTTTATCCAATAACGTTCGCATCTTTCATCCTTTAGCTTGTTCCGACCTAATCGCGATTCCACTCGTTTCGAAGCTCTGAATTTAAGGGAAATATAGAAAAACCATTTCCGATAAACGAGGTTCTTGTTACTCAGCGTTATTCGCAAAGTGTACTTAAAATGAAGACTACAGCAGTAATAAACCCTTTACGAAAGCTCGCTAAACAGTAATGATGTCACCTTAAATCGAGATTGTATGTACTCCGTTTCGCGGCATCCATCGGAGGATTAAAATATAACGACGAAGCCGGTAGGAAATCCCTTGGAAACGGTCTCGATGAAACACACGAAGCTCCCAGAAGAAGCTAAACGACGCTCAAGTCTGATTGAAGAAAATGACCTTCCACGTACGCGATCTCTGATACAACGGATGATACGTATACAGGGTGTACCATTTGAACATTTACACGCAATTTTATTTATTCCAAAAAATGTTTCAAATATAATTTATTTTATATCCATGGGCACATCTTATGATAGTCAAAAATCTTATCTAGGTGGACATGCGTATTTTTTTAAATACACCATTATGTTTTCATTTAGGTATACGTGTAGTCCGTTCTGTGACGAATTCATTGTTCTATAATATATTGGTCTTTCAAGGTCATTCAAGTTATTAAAGGTTATTCAAGATCATCCAGGATCATTCAAGGTGACTCAAGCTCTTTTATTGCCATTCAAAACGTACCTTTCTACATTGTTACTTACATATTGCTTGTGTGAGATTTGTACGGTAATAAAAATGACCTTCAGTGACCTTGACTCACCAATATAATATAGGAAAATGAATTTCTCACGAAATGGGCAAAACGTCTACCTAAACAAAAATAGATAGATCCACATAAAAAAAACGAAAATTATAACATGTCCCCCTCAAAACAAAGTACTACTTGAAACATATTTTGGAACAACTATTTCGGGAGACAAATACGTGTAAATTTCAAATGGGACGCCTTGTATATAATACATACGTTTACGTATCTCACGATATATTTTTAAACGTAGCAGTGAAGCTCCTCCTCGGAAGGCAATAAGACAGGTACTCCCGGAACCCCTTTCCTTTCTTTCCGCCTGGTCCATCCCCCGCGCCACGTCCCACCACCCCGGGCCGCTTCTTCTTCTTCTTCAGTTCTTTGTATTTACGAGCAATAAAGCCGTACACACGCGACCGCTTGCCGTTACACTCCGGATAGCGCGAATATCGCGGCAGAGCGGGCACGTCTATCGCGAGCTCGTTCGCTTCCGCTTTATCCCCGGCCAACAATATCGCCGATAAAACATTCGCCCTGGGTCCCCGGGCCTCCCTCCACCGAACCCGATAGCTACTCGAGCAAAAGAGTAATAAATGAATCCGCAGTCGTAAAATTGCTTGGCGATCGCGGGGATAGGAACGTACGAGATCCAGCTCCGACGATCCTTCGTCGTTCGGCCACTTCCGGTCGGCGAGGGCCTCGTGATACCGCCACGGAACGTCGATCGTCCGGATACTTGTTATTTCCTGGGAGTTTTGACAGATCTAGAAGAGGCTTTCCGGTCGTGGGAAACGGTTCTCGACGAAACTTGTTAGAAATATTAGTCCGAGATTTCTGATTTTGAAAAGTACTACGCTCCTTCGGGAGTTCTGGGGCAAGTGCTGACTCTGATCAATCAGAGCCCTCTTAGAACTGTCTAAAAACTGTCTACTTCACACAGTAGTCCGAAATCAAAATATAGCAGGTCGTACGATTATCTAGAATCTAGATCAAGGAAACAAAAATATTGATACTTCGAAATTTTATTCAAATAGAAGTTAGTAAATGGACACGTTCTTATCAATTTTGGGGCTCTTCTCGATGTCCTCATCATTCACTAACAGTGTTTTCAACATCTTCATGAAAGTTGAATTTTTAGGTAATTTTTTTTAATATCTTTCACTGATACTGAAAGGGTCCGGAGGGAACAATTCGTGAAACATATTTTTCATGTCAACTAATATGTTGATTTAAATTATTTCGAAGATAAAATAAATTAGATTCCGAAGTCTGTCTCGTGCGCCATTTCCCAAGACCGCACGCGTTCGAAAGCCCTATTATAAATTATCCAGCGGTCAACAAACGACAAACCATTTGCTTTCGACTCCACCTTAAAACACGTTGACGCTAACAAACTCGAAGTGTTAGGTCTCCAAGGGTCACGAGACGGTGGCGTTTCATTAAGAAAAAAAGACTCGTTTGTTTCACGAGGTGTTTTCCACGCGAAAGAATTTTCTGTTCCCCGTCCCCTCGAACCAAAGAATTACGTTCAGCAACAAGCCAAGTAGACGCGAGCGTGCACACCACGGGAACAAGCGTTACGCTGGGCGTGAAATAAAATACACTTTCCTTTTTCCTAGCACCCGCGGGATTATTTTAAAACCTCTTGCGTTTTAATGCATCAAGTTGTTTCACGGTATAATGTTCAAGCACCGTCGCATGTATATTGTTCGTTCCGCGGGACAGAAGTAAGCCGTTTATAAATTTTCCTCGCGGACACGCCCTGTTCGGAGTAATTTTAATTAACGACTAATCCCTCGCGCACCGGAGATCTTGAGGAATTCGCGCGACTCGAGGCTTACGATCGCCTGAAACCCTCGAGATATTCCAGCCCTTTGTTTCTTCACAGGAAACTTTTTAAGCCCATCGAGGACTCTTGCAATCGTACGAATCCATTCTCGAATTTTCGCGAACGAATCACTGAAGAAATCTGGAGAAGAATGGGTCGTTGTAAGCCACTAGCGCCTGGAAGCCCGTTCAGGTCCAGTTTCCTCGGTGAGTTCCGTTTTATTATCGGGCTCGTGAATTAAGGCGCGTGTATTTGGAGCACCAGACGTCGAGGGAGACTGTAGAACCGCTCGACTAAGTCGAGTGTTTGGCGTTAACGACAGCGAAACTTTCGAGGCTCGAACGTTAAGAAAATTCGTAACGACGCGCGGCTTTCGCCGTTCCAAATCATTAGGGCTCGCTTTAAACGAGGTGCACATTTATATTCCCGTCAACCTTACGCTATCATTAACGATTCGTTATTGCTGGTTATCGTCGTTGGACACTCAGGTTCGTGGGGAAATTTTTCAATTACTACTTTTTTCCCCAATTCCGACCGTAACGAATGACCGAGTGGCAACGCGATGAGAATCTGTGATCGCGTATCCACCGACTGCGATGCAAATGAGACGGATGATAGATAGTCCGTTACGGGGACGGACAAAAGGGCAACTCTTTGGACGGTTCAAGAAAATAATAGGGACCGTATGGGCCAGGAACGAGTGATGAATACGAAACGTAACTCCGAAGGTAAGAGAAATAAAGGACGAACAGGACCGTCGTCGTTTGTCACGGATTATTGCGCACCTTTTACCCCGATATTTCAAATATATATACATATACTTCATAGACTGTGACTTCTCGTGTTTCGAAACAGGATTTCGGACCTTCTCAATGGCAACTAAGACTGTAATCCCATGTAGCGGATACTTTAAATCAGTCGCGGATTAATTAACACGATAAATCGCCGCGTGGCATATTTCATCGTTGTGTTAGATTCTATCGAATGGCGCACGAGGCGAGTACAGTAAAATCTTAATGAACGCTCGGGGCCCTTGGCGAGTATTTATAACAGGTAGACACGATTACGTTACCAAAATAAACCATGCATAATATTTTTGAAATCACGTTGGGCAATAATGTTCCTCCAGAAAAAAGTGGTTCGTTTTTATTTTAACCACAATGCACAAGGATTGCAAATTTTAAGGTGGTTTTATAGTTATGCTACGCTGTGTATTACTATTGCCTCGTTGATACGCAGGACTGTAATCTCTCTTTACCTTCCAACCTTCAGCCATCGGATACTGAAAGGCAAGCTTACACATTACACGCTTGACTAGTTCCAAAGAGGATCCGCCTACTAATGGGGATGAGACACGGGTATTTAATCTAGAGCCCTGAGCGAGCACTTACCAAGAATTTACTGTACACGTTGTTCAGTCGACATTTTCTACTCGCGAGGAGAGTCGTCGAGATTCTATTCAGAGAACGGCAGTAGCTTGTTCGTCTTTCTTGCTCGTTCAACAGTGGAAAGGTAATCGTTGAACGATCGGTCGAGGAATCGCGATTAGAAGAGGAGCACGCGCTCGAATCCGCCCTCATTGGCCGTCCACGTGCAAGTCGGTCCGACGTCACGTCCCGCGGAGGGTGACTTTGTTCCGAGTTAGGGAGAAGAAAAAGCAAAAAGTGGAGAGGGTATTCACCGCACGGTTTGCACAACCAAGGTACCAGAAGGGCTCTCTTGTTTGCTAGATGGGGGGGGGGGGCACGAACCCTGCGTTCTTAAACTTCCACGAGTCACTGGTCTGTTTGCCATTCCGTGACGCAATTATTTCTTCTTCGCTACGTTGTTTATAAAGTACTCAGAACTGATTAAACGAGCTTTAGAACGTAAGTACTTGTATGAAATAGTAGGTGTAGCAATAAGTAATCCACTATTTATGTTTAATGAACTGGTAACTCATTTTAAATTTAATATAGCTCTTTGTTTTCCTTTCTTCTTTCTATATGGTGGCAAACATTCGAGAATTGGGACAAGTATTATTAGTGTATAAAAAATATAGTAGATTCCTTAATGGTACACCTAATAATTTCATAGATTCGTGTATGAACGTATGGTACTCTATCTACAATTGCAGTAATCCTTATTTGCAGCAGACAATTGCAGTAAACAACGGGTTTTGTTATCGTTCTATATATCGTTTCCTGTTTCATATATTTTCCACTGGAGATGGGAACGTTCGCGTACAGCTTTTCTTATCCAGAGCATATCTAAGCTTCCAGCTTATTTATTTAACTTATCGACTACAAATCATTCCATGCATCCCGCCGACGTACTGAACGTCGATAAAAGATACCGCTCCAACCAAAATGTACGCTGCTTCAAATTTATTGCACATTTCCATTGTACTTAAATATTAATAATCTTTCCCTACTTCCCGTCTAATTTCCTTATTGAGGTACCCACTGAAATCCGTACTGTATCCGCCGCAGCCATCCAACCGTTCCGTGTACGTCATTTTATACTTTTCCGAGCTTTCACAGCGCTTAAATTCATAATCGTAGGTTCTCCTCGCGGATTAATATGTAATCTGCGGTTATTAAATTTCATCTAACAGCAGTAATACTGTAATACCTCACTCCTTAAACGATTGGACATAATGAAGACGAATTATTATTCTTATTAACCCTCATGGACACGTGCTTCTATTTTATTAAATTGTCTTTCTCCAAAAAATATTTCCTTTTCATCCTAATTGTCTACCATTAAAAATACAAAATTATTAAATTAAAACATAACAAAAACCCAGTTTCCGCCTTTTCAAATTACGAAAAAATGGAATGGTGTATACCAACCCTCCTGTTGCTCATATCTGGATCACACGCTACTCTATCAAAGAAACAATTGAATCGCAAATCTACAATACCAAATTAACTAAGCCGTCTATAATTATGACCAGCGACCCCGACAATCAACGCGTTATCTTAATTCACATCGGTAACAGAAACTCGGAAAATGGGTTTCCTGGCTGCACCAAGCACGGCTGAAAATGTCGAAAAACGAGCACCGGAACGCGCGAACACACATTTCCCGACGACGCTCGGAGCGGTCTGTTGTAATACGCAATTTCTGTTGGGCGCAATTAAAACGCGTTGTGACGTCCAGCCAGGTTATCCGATGGTGGCGATGTAACGCCGCCAGAGAAGCGTGGTTGTCTGTGGCCCGTGACGCGTAACGGGCGTCCGCCTCGCGTGACCAACCCCTGCCCACCCCATTTTTCGCCAGCGGTCATCTTCTGGCTGGGCGGCCCTTTGATGCAAAAGATTAAAAGGGATACGAAGCGTTGGAACGCGACAAAGCCGTGGCGCATCGCGGAAACACAGTGGTTCCCGTCGTATGAACCATCGTCACTAGGTGGCGTGTGTATTATCGCGATGCGTTCGCGAAATGAAGTTCCCCGGGACATCGACGGAAGAGAGGCAACCGCGATAATGGTCTCGATGGAGCGAGGAGCCACCCAAGAAGATCCAAGGCGCGCTTTCGAAAGGCGGCACGGGTAATTAGAGAGCTGGAGGGAACCGTATGAAGCAGCGTTGGCGACCTCAGATCGAGGAGATAGTCGGGCAAAAACGAAGACCGATACGAAAAAACCGACAGAGACGGATAAGGGTTTGGGAAGCTAGAGGGGAAGGGGTTAAGGGAGAAAATCGCCGCGAAACCGATGCACTTCGCCGTTCACCTCTATCACCGACCCACCGAAACGGAATAACGAGAGAAATGGGAGGGCAAAGCCGGGCTACATACACGGAACTATTCGCTGATATATGGGTCGTTTTAATCGGTTCCGAGCGTATCGCTGGAAGGGCGTAGTACACCGATGGAAAGAATTGCAGTCTGGAAATCTCGCGCCAACTATTACGGCTTTACGATCATATCCCGTGGCCCGTTGATCAAACATTCAATAAAACGAAACATTGTTTTTTTGTATAGTCTGTTGCGCTTGGAACGGAGTGTACGTGTTTGGTGATTCGACAATTGGTAAAATGTGTTGCTCAGAAGGAGACCAACGAGATGATGACACAGGGGCAAGAGGGATAATTAGCTCGCACTGCCTGAAGTCATTCCCATCCACCCATTCTATCAGGCGGGGCTGTATGGTGTGATTGGTCGATGTCATCGCGCCGGCTAATAGGGACAATCTTTGTGCCCGATATTCTACGGTTGGGTTAGCGAAGATGGGCTTAAGGGGATTCAGTAAATCCTCGATGAATGTTCGAAGGCCCCTCAGCACTGATAAGGGGGAATCCCCAGGTGTAACATTGACTTTTTAATGAGTTTCAGCACAGCGATAAATTTAGGAATTCCAAAGTAAATGATATTTGTTTCACTCGCATATGGCCATTAGTTTATGAAATATTTAATGTTTAATGTCGAGGAGCCTTCGGACATCTTCTGAACAACGTATTTTCGATGGATCCTTTTGATCCGAGACCTCGGCCATCTCTCGTGCGTATGTATTCCGAAGTAACGACTTGTATGAAACAAGAAACACTGGGGTGGTACGATCGTAAAGGAACTGGAACGCTCGCAATTTTCCTAAAATACAGGTGCACTGGTCTTATCGATGTGGGCGAGGGAAGGCGCAATAAAAGAAGAGATAACGATCGAAATTACAAGGCGGTGAACACGGGGAAAAGGCGAGCGGGAAACGATGCAAAGAGTGTAACGACTGAGGAGGTAGTTGCGACCAGACGACGGACTGATAAAAAGTGGGACGAAGATGGATAAGAGGGAACGTTAAAAAGGGCTTGTGGGTGGGAGGGCAGAAGAACGGAACGGTCGAGCCGTGTCCCCTATTGCATGTCGCGTATCCACCTTCCTGGCGATTTTATGTACACGGTAGGCGGATCGTTGGTTAGTCGGGAAGTTCGAGATGAGAGGCTGGATAGCGAGGGCCAGCCGCCGGCAGAACGAGCTGCCGTATAACGAGAAAACTGCCCAGAGGGCGATATCCGTCGACCGGCAGGGAATTTCATTTTTTACATTGCTCCCATATATTTCGTCCCCCTTCCCTCCCACTCGCGGACGTATCTGGTTTTGATGATCGAAACCCTAGCGCTGATTATCATTAGCACGCGACTCTTTTGTTATCTTTATCTTTTTAATTCTCCCTAGCGCTGGACACGAGGCCTATCTTTATTATTTTCTTCTTCTTATGTTTTTTTGTTATTCCGACCACAATGGCGACGGGCGAAGTTTCTTAGACGGGGGCAGGAGTTGAAACACGTCAGTGGGTTAGAGAGATACTGTGCCCGCGACTTTAATTATTAACGTATTGCCGGCGAACAGAAGGGTAGAGTTCGTAAAGGGACACCGAAACAGGCTGTCGACGATATTAAAACCACCGCGCTGTGCAGGCGGAACGAGAATCGGCCTGGAAAATCGTCAGGTACGCGCTAATGTACATGGTTTAATGCGATTTTGTAATTTTCGTGCGATTCTTCCCCAAGCGACATACATAGTTGCTGGAATAGACTAGTGGTGGTGGACAAACTCATTATCTAGACAGGAAGTTTCGTATGAAGAATAAAAGATGAAAGACTGGCCGTCTGTTTGCTCGTTCAACACACGTAGGAATTACCGGCACGGAATTAATTGTTAAATTTACGCGGTAATCTCGTTCTCTTTTAAGAAAAAATCACTTTACCCAGATTAATCACTTACATGTATTAATGAAACGTTATAGATAATATTGCGTTTGTCCGTAAATGAATAACATCTCCGCTTTATATTAACCCAGCCAATGTACTCAGACACACGAAAGAAATTAAACAACTGATCAAAAAGATGGCGTTTCGATAGACGACTCTTACCCCAGACGCCTGGGTTGCTCCTCGGCGGATCCCCTTAAGTATCCAAAGACTCTAATTACAGCTTGCGAGAGAACTCGCCACCTAGCAGCTGCTACCAAAAACCCAAGCAACTGGGAGAATTGTCTCCACACACCGCCTGTCCCATAAGATCACACAACAAACACAAAACAATATTAATTATCCGCTCACCTTTCGGCGGGTTGACGTGCAGAGCGGACCTGTAGAGGCTCTCCTCGTCATACCAGTCAGCGTTCCTGAGCAGCGTCTTCGCGGACATCAGGCACACGAGGAGCACGGTGGCCAGCAGTATCGTTCTGCCCCTTCTCCTCGATCCGTTTCGTCTGGCTATCCGATAGCATCCAGAGACCGCAGCTCCGACGATCAGACAGGCGCCCACGCTCGGCAAATAGAGGATCCTCTCGGCTATCACGAAGCCCACGTAGAAGAAGAGATTGCTAGCCGGTAGGAAGGGAAGCACGAGGAAACCGAGCGACACGGCGACACCGGTCGCGGCCGCTTGTTTGCTTGCGTACACGTTGCTCGCGGTCATCGTGTAACCGGTGTTCGCCCTCTTGGCGCAATGACAATCGCCGAACGGGCCGTTGTTGTTGTTGTTTGCGGCGCGACACCCGTCCGTGTGGCATCCGCCTGTTCGTCTGCCAGCGCACACCGGACACCTGGAGGACATCGACCGCGGATACACTTGGACTAGGCTCAACGAGACCTCTCTGGGCGGTCGACGTAGCGTTCTGATCGCCCAAATCGAGGCGCCGATCAACGCCGCGTATAAACAAGCCGACTCGAAATTCCTTGCGTCGAGGATGCTTGTTATCCTTGGGACTGCGTCCATCGACCAGTCGAAGCTCAGGGTACTGGGGCAGAGCAACATCCTCGCGCTAGCCGCCGGTAAGTAGAGGAACGTCAGACCCCGTGTCAGACGTGACGGGTGTCTGGCGGTCGGATTGTCCGCGCTGGCGAACTCCGGTCTAGCGCCGATGATCCTCAGCCTACCCAGGATCAGCAGGACTAGACTACCGGAGAGGATGCCCAGGCTACGGGTACGGGTCAGGCCGCAGTTCACCTGGAACAAGAAAAAGAGGAATGTTGAGAAGCGCTGATAGGGTTTAGTTGAAATATAATAGAGTTTAAGAATTTAACGCACATGCTGATGGCGCATACGGGCACACATTTGTACGCATATTGATACGCTTGATGCTTGGCAAATATAATTTTTGTATCGTTCATGTTTTATTTTTTAGTCTCATACGTTATATAAAACGCGAATAATTTCTTTTTACTTTGGAACAAAGCGGATATGAAAATATCAATTATTGTTCAATCGACAGCGATTTAACTTCTGCTAGGCGATATGAAGTACTTTCACCGTATACAGTAAATCATCGATGATTGTCCGAAGGCTCCACGGCACTGAGTGTTCATCCCCACTACGTGGCGTTCGACTGGTTCCACAAGTGAGTCACAGGTACACTGAGGATAACGTCTGAACACTCAGTGCCGAGAAGTCTTCGAACACTCCTCGATGATTTACTGTATGACAGCGTCGTTCGACGAACAGGGATAAAAGTTCGCTCAACGAATATGGATAGAAGTTATTTGCTCGACGATCACTGAAAAAAAAAAAACGATTTCCGTCGCGAAACACTCGACTGGTCCTGCGGGTGGATTGAAACCGGGTCGAGCTTTTTCTTCTCGAGAGGGAGGGTGGAAAAAATGCGCCGTTTGAGAATCCGAGTCAGGCAGTGAAAAGGTTGGGTCGGAGGGGAATAGCAAAAAAAAAAAAAGGCGGGTGGCGAATATAATTACTGTTGGTTATCACGGGATCGGTGAGGAAAGCGCGCGCGACGGCGGGGCGGCACGCTTAATCGACGCAACACTCTTGAAAGTCGGCGTTCCACCGGCAAATGAAAAGTAACGTCGAAAGCTTTTAAAGCGAGCTCGTGGACGATGGTGTTGGTTGTGCCGAGCGGACGGTGGCACGGCGTAATGCGAAAGCGACATTTTAACGTTAAATTGCGGAACGCCCGCGGAAGAAGTCGCGGCGATAATTGCGCGTTCTGGAATTGTCCCGGTTCCCACCAGCTTTGTTGGACGCGATGCGGCATAACTTCAGATAAATTCACACGCACGTTCTCGCGTTCACCGACGTTTTTAAAACGTTCCATCCTGGGACAACGCAGCGTGACGCAGCTAGCGTACGAAAGAGATAAAATTTCAATGGGTGAAACAGATTCGTAGACTTGTCCTCGCTAACGGAGCACTATTTGAAGCGCAACTGGAGGGGGTACCTGCTGTTTCTGTACGAACTCACAGTGAGACTGGATTTGTGACAGTTTTAGTCAATGGAGATCGGAAATCTCCGCTACGAATTTATTCGATATTGTTAGTACGAATTAACGTAATAAAAATATTGGGTGTGAATAGAAAACCGGATTATGATGATCAAACTGTCGATAGAATGTGAGTAACGATAAGGTGACGAAGTAAGCTTCCAATTGCAAAGACAGTGCAAGCTGGTGATGACTCCTTCGCTCTTACTGTTAGACTGGGGCGTTTCGGACGAAATCGAGACGACGATATTATTACAAATAACAGCAATATTCAAAGTGGACATAGTTATTGCCCCACCCTGTATACAAATTCAGAATCGCCCAATTTGCGACTTACAATCTCTTAAAAAGATCCATTGCAATTTTAGTGCAAAAGTCGCCTAGATTGCGACAAATCGCTCAATTTGGCAACACTGAGTCCATACGTGAGGTTATTCCAACCGTAGACAGAATTCAGTTCGATATGTCGTGCCGTTGAATCGTCAGTGAAACGATATCGCCCGCGATATTAATTCGATGCCGTTTATAGCTCTCGCGTGGCTCGCGCGTCCCTGTCCCCGTTAATCGTTCTCCCGGTTGTTCGTTTCGAGGAGCCCTTTGTCTCCGAACTTCCGGCCGGCATTGTCGACTACGACGACACCGACGATGCCGGTGCCGTCGTAACTGGGTTACATCGCCCCGGCGAAATTATTCCTTTCCTCGGCGGTGCGTCGTAAACTTCGCCGGAGTTTCAGCTCGTGAGAGCTATCGTTCCTTGATTAGACTTGAACTCGCCTCCCGGATCTGTCGTCCCCTCTTTCACGAGACGCTCGAGGACGGGCGGTTGTAAGCTAATAGCAGTTTTTGACATTTCCAGAGGCTCCCTCTAATTCTGGTTTGAAATTGTGCGCCCTTCACGAGAACGAATCGTCGAATCTGTTTCATGCATCCGTCGAAATTTTATCTAAGTTTATACAGAAAATCCTCGATAAGTGTTCGAAGGCTCCTTGACATTGACAAGGAGAGGTTCCAGGGTGTAACGCTGTTTTTCACAAAGGTTTAAGACATCGATAGAGCTTGAAATTTTGAAGCCAATGATATTTATGTCAGATGCATATGACCATCAGTTTATGAAATATTTAATGTTCAGTGCCGAGGAGTCTTTAAACACTCATCGAGAATTTACTGTATAGCCCAAGCGCGTGGTGTCACGGACGTCAATGAAACCAGGCATAAGTTGGGTTTCAGACGTTGCAACGCCATCTCAGATCCTTCCCAACCGTGAAACGAAGTTATTCTTACGGTGGTCAGAGTTTAGCTGGGTGCGTCACGAAGAACGATCCCCCAACCCCTGTCAACCGGATCGTTTCACCAACAATCTGTTCCTCTAGTTCCACTGCTCCCTTTTTCTCGGCGCATATATAGCATCGCGATCCGTGTGGCGCGCATATTTTCTCGCCGTGAGACAAAGCGAGCGGAAAACGACGCACGGGAGAGAGGTTCCCTGTCGACGTTTCCGTTTCCCGAACGGAGCTTCGCGGCGTTCTTGGCTGCGCGCGAGCAACAAGAAACTTGGGAGGGAGCAGGAAAACGATTCTCCGTGTTCAAGGCGCGAGGAAGGCTCGGCGTGGAACCAGGCTGGCGCAGTAATAATAGGAAAAATATGGCGAGAGGACGGGTTTAGGGGGGTGGTAGTGGTAGGAGGAAGACAACTGGGTAGGACAGGAACGAACAGCCAGGAAGATCGAGTTCCCGCGCGACGCTACACTCGCGAAGGGTGTCGGGAAATGCGAACGACCGTTGGCACCCCTCCAATCCTCCTACGGTGGCTGGCTGGCTGGCTTGCTAGCTGGCTGGCCTGGCGACATGCATCACGCCAGGCGTCTGATGCATCCAGCGCATCCGGATGCAATGTGCACGAAAGGCGAACGCCTGGAGGTACGGTCGAAGGCTTTAAGTTCTGTGTCGTGGAGGTGGTACGAAGGTGGTTAAAGCCGGCTCGAGGCCCAGGCTGAAGGTGGCTAGGGGGGAGATGGCTCACCGTGCATCAGCCCCGTTGTCTCCCGCAGATCGCTGGCTGGTTCAGCCCGTTTGCAGATGGTGCTGCGCCGTTGCGTTATCGGTTACACGGCTGTCTACCCGGATGCGCACTTTCGCGGCTCGTCTACAGGGGCTTCCAAAGTACTGGGAACTTGCGTACGGAATATGTCGTTGGTAGGTTATAGTTTGAGGGAATTCGCGATACGAACGACTTTGGGTATTCTGACTTGCCACCGAAACAATTAAAGGCGTGAAGAACCCCCTGCTGTTTTTATAAAATTACTGTAGCTATATTTTCAATTAATTTTACTAAGTATCATGTAGTCAATGCTATTACACGTACACCCGTACCAGCTTCATTACTATTAACATCGTTAACTATCATATTCCGATATTCAGGGGTCGTTTATGTAACAGCAATCGAGTAAAAATCGATCGTCCCTTAATAGACTATCCCTTAAATTCCTTGCCCCGCCAGAACTCCTGAATTCGATGCACAGGATAATAATCGAACGTTACAAAAATATCACACATGATGTGTACAGCAATCAAACAGAAAATCATCTTCGGAAGTGACTAAACGAGAAATCCTCAGTTTCTGAAAGACCCAGTGACGTCGAGATCCCTTGAACGTTCCACGCAGCCGGTGATCTAGCGAATCGGATTCAAGGTACCAGTCGGGAATCCCAGGAATCGGGGCGCACGTGTGCCGTCCATCACCACACGAAGACACATTACACGGTCGCAATGAATTCGTCGACACACGCCGGTTGCTTATAATCACCGAGGTCCCCCCCCCCCTGGCCCGGTACATTCACGGATAATTGTATCGCGTCACCTAATTGCGTTCCCGTTATTAATTCGCCGCCGGCAGGATAATCTCTCGGGTGCATCGGCTACTTTCCCTCGTCAATGGGTAATTTGATTACGTCGTTTCTGCTAGACCAGTCCGTTTTCAGTTGTTAATATCCGTAATGGCAGCCGTTGGGTAGCAGCGCGCGCGCGAATCGTCGCAATCCAGCGTAATGCAAAGCCCTCGAAACGTTAATTTACGTTAATGTGCCCGGGACACGTGAGAAGCGACCCCTGGTTCGACGAACTCCGGTCGCCTCGGGTCCCGTTGCTAATTTGATAGGCCGGCGGGGCCGATCCATAAATTTTGCGCCGGCAGTTAAAGCGTACGTTCGACGAGGTCGTAAGGCGGAGCGGAATGGAGCAGTAAAATGTAAATTCCGGACGACCGCTGACGAGAGACGCGGTTCGTAAATCCCGGAAGTGAGCTCACTGGTACAGACACACCCGCGGTGCTCGTACTGCGAATTGCAGATAGATTCGCGTTACGTACTACAATGAGAACTGCTTAATAAGACACTTCTAATGGGACCATTTCAAGGTTTGGCGCGTTGATTGCGTTCTGTATGGAATCTAATCTACCGTTTGTAAGTGTTTGCGCGTTTATGGTAGATTTACTGTACTGATATGATAACCTAAATTCAACGAAGAACTAGTTTCTTTACTGGCTGGGTGTGTGGAATAAGTAGAATTCGGGATTTTTTATGAGAAGATGTCAAAGTGGTATATAGTACGTGGCATAACTATAGAACCACCATAAAGTTTTCAATTCTTATGTACTGTGGTCAGAATGAAAACAAACCAAGTATGTCGTGTCTGAAATCCTGTTGAGAAATAATGTTTTTCCAGAAAAGGATAGATTATATTCCCTGGAAAAAAAGTTCATTTTCATTTTAACCACAATACGTAAGAATTGAATACTTTAGAGTGTATCAATATTATAGAGTACTTCTATCTGTAGATTCTCCTTGCAGTGGAATAAATTTGAAAAGCCTTCTGTCTATTAATAACAACGCCTGTTTGATGTAAATAACTCAAACATTTGGAATCGTCAGTATTTGGACATGCCATGACAAGTACTGAAATATCTTAATTAACTATCTTCCATTAGTAATATGGTACAGTTATATTTGGTGGTATTTGTTTTAACTACGGAATGCATTAAGGCTAAATATGAATTCTATCGAAGCTAAGCCCAAATATGTCTTGACTTAATGCTGCACGAATTCTGTGCTGATCGAGTTACGACCGTAAAAGAAATATTAATCTTTGATGATGATTAAAATAGAGATAATTAATATAAATTTAATACCTATATAAAATATGTAATAAATACATACGTATACATATGTATTTGGTTAAATAATTGTGTAATAACTTTCATTCATTGAAAGTCGTAAGTCGAGGAATACCTGTACTAACTTGTAAGGTACCCAACAATCCATCGATACCACTAGCACCAATCACGGCCCGAATTCACGCTACAAACATTCTAATAGAGTGAGATTCTTACCTTTCGATTCGACTCGCCGCGACACAGTTCCCAAAGGAGACACAACGCCAATGAGGATATACCCGTCTCCTTGGCGAGCGTGGCCAGGGTCGAGGATACGATCGCCAGTAGGAGGGGAAACGGCGAACGGGACTGGTCGCAGTGGGCACAATACGCCAGGAACGCCGACAAGGTCAGCAGACAGGCGAGTAGGTCGGCCCGACCGACCACGCCGGCCACCGCCTCGCTGTGAATCGGATGGGCCGCGAAGAGGAAGCCGGCGATCGCGTGCCCGAGATTGTTTCTTCCAGGCAGTATCTGTAACGTGAGAAATTCTCGGTGCATAAGGAGGACAATAAGGGGTGTGGTTGGCTAAGTGTGTGTGTGTATGGTTTTTTTTTCGGGTTCATTGTGTTCCAGGACGAGAAAAGCGGTCGCGTGCTACGGTCGAGTCTTTACAAACGAGGACAATGAACCATGGGGATTCCTCTGGAGGGAATCGGAGGGACTTGACGGCCTAACTCGGTGGTCAATTTCCGCTTATCATAAATGCAGGAGCATAGATTCCGAATGTAGGTCACTTCGGCTTTCTGTGAACCATTCGTTCGAACTTTGTCATTTAATAAGTTAAACGGAAGAATTGCTTATGAAATGAATGCTCTTCTGTGTATTGACAACGAACGCTGTTCGATTGATGGCAAAATCGTGCGGGTTTTTATGTATAGCTCGAAAGTATATGTCACACGGGATACGAGAATGCAAATTGAAAGTGTTATTGGAAGCTGGTTTGATCTTCAGATGTCACACAAGTACATTATTATTCTTATTTACTGTTATATAATAGAGGTAATTGATATTCAATGAACGGTATTTTTCACTCCCTTTTCTTTATTCTTTATCTTCCTTTCCTCCTCTCTGCCTTTTTCTTTTCACATCACTCACTGTTTACGCATTTTGTCACAGACGTTTGTTTGATTTTTCAAGGTCAAACCAGCTTTCTGAACTATTTTCAATTTGTATTTTTGTATACTTTCTGACATACACTTTCGAAGTGTATGTAAAAATCTATGAGATTTTGTCATCAATTGAATAGTGTTAAAAGGTACAATATACAATAAACGATATAGTACATATACTCTAAATCAAATCAAAACAAACAAAAAAATGCAATAGTGTTGCTTGCGAGGGTAAAAATTTCCTCCATCGTTCGAACGAATCTAGAAGTTCCAATTAGTGGATTTTCTGAAACTGATAATATTCCCTACGTGATCCTGATTTTCGTGCAACGATGCCTGACAGAGGCGTCGCCAGTCGTTATTCAAGGAGGATGAGGAGGTGGGGATTAAACGGGGATACAGGAGAGAGCTCGAACGGGAACACCAAAGCTCTCGAAACGGAACAACGGCTGTCCTCCGGTAATCCCATTTCCATTACGATCACCGTGGCAGGTGACACACGCATGCACGCACCCCCACCCCCAACCTCTAGTTATTAACGTAATATACAGGGAATTAAATGGACCGGTAAAATTTTATTTCAAACCGCCGCCGTAACGTCTGGTATTACCAACTCCGGATGACGTACCGCTCTACAGGTGTCACTATTATCTCGTTTTCTACCGCGCCGCTCTGACGTAAAATCTGGCCGACGAACGAGCCGGGGCGTTAATCGAAAAGCAGATGAACGCGAATTTCTAGCGGCGCTCTTGTCCAGGTAAACTCAGCCACCCCCGAATTAGTTTTCTTGTTTGAACAACCGATAAATTGAAATTGGCCAGGGTTCGATTTAATTAACGTTATTATGTATCCACTGGAGATGTAACTCACCTTCCTGGCGACCTTGACCACCAGAACGGTGCAGGCTGCGTGGAGAGCAACGTTCACCAAATGATAGCCCCACGGCTCTAGACCGCCGAATAGATGATTCAGACGAAACGTGGCCACGCAGAGGGGCCTGTAGCTGCCGTGGGACCCTTTGTCCGTCAATGGTGTGCCCCAGAAGTCATTCTCCAGCAGCCGATGCCACGGCGTGTTGGCCAGCAGGTCTGGATTCGTCAAGATGGCTCTTCTGTAATAAAGAAAGAGACACCACGTTAGTGTTGTGGTTTGTACTTTCTGAAATAGCATGTACTACTGTTTGTAATGAAACTTAAATGTTGATCAGGTGTTTTGAAGATTATTTCGTGGTACAATATGGAGAAAATGCGTGATATATCTAGATTCATGGTAAGTAGAAACGGTTAGAAGCAGAGTCCTATTAGTATTGCGGATACCCGAGGCATAAATTCTATGTTCTCAAAAAATGTAGCCTTATAGGGAAAAGAATGACTTATTTCCTACAATTTCTAACACATTCTATACTAAAATATATATTCCTGTCGATCAACAATGTATTTCCAACGGTGTGTACGTAATTTTAACATTCAAATTTACATTACCGCGTCAAAATTTATAGTCCTCCAGGGGCAGATGAAGTGTCAGCCCTCGTACAGTATTCAAGCAACTGTGATATATTAATACTACTACTCTCTAAATTAAATCAGGCTGAAATTGAAATTAAATCAAGGCAATGCATTTACCTATAATTCGAGTATAGTATACACACATATGTATACACTAGCACTAAATTAATTAGTTCATTTTTGTATGATCTCGAGTGAATACATATATTAAAGTCGGGTTCCGAGCGATGTTAAATCCTGCCAATTTTCCACAGGTAAATTCTGTTCCCCAGGCGTTCGCCGTTACACGAGGCGAAAATATCTACTGCCCGATACAGATTAACGTACTTCCGTAACCTTCTCACGGAAAAGAAAGAACCCCTGGAACGGTTCAATGCCCGCATTCTAAGGGTCCTTATTGCTCGTGGTCCTCTGCCGGAAGACACGGAACGACGAGCAGAAACGTGGATCCGTTTACAACGTCGAACAGAACTTCAGCCATCGAAGTTCGGTAAAAAAAAGCTGAATGTTTATTCTTCCGCGAGTGGATATACTCGGGACATCGGCCAATTAACTGGCTTGTCACTCGGAACGCAGAGCAGAGGCCGCTTTGTTAACCTGCGAAAGGAAAATTCGTTTCGAGCCCGAGGACGTGGATCGCTCGCGCGTCCATCAGAGTCGTCCACGCATCGGCGGTTAAAGGACTCGATGGTGTTTCACGAGCAATCGTACGAAAACAATATCCCTCCTCTCCTCGATGCACAGTCGTACACGCGTAATACTTGGGAAACGATTTCACGGGCGAGAGTCATCTATGAGAATCCTCGCCGATCACAAAGAGACTAATACGGCGTTCTTCGGTTTTGCAACTTTTTTAAAACGATTTCTGCTTCTCGACCCATTGCCAGAATTTGAAGGTAGGGAAAATGACCTAATTGCGAATAGATGACCTTGTTTTTGTTAAAAAATAATACGAAATTATTCATAATTGTTTATTTTCGAACTATCTAGTAAGTTTCATTTTTCTGGAACCCCCAAAAAGAATTTTTTTATGGAATAATTGAACATTAGTGAAAGACCGAACGAACGGAAAAAAAAGTTTTCTGCACCTCTTACGGAATGTCTTCTTAAAAGTATAATATTTTTAAGTATAGTAAAGAAAGATTGAAAAGCGTACGGTAATTTTCCCAGAAATCAGAACTTCTTCGTACGAAGTACAGAACCGTTTGTGAAGTACTTATCGTATTTCGGCATCTAAACAAACGCGAATAATATAAAGTCATTCGGATTTGGTTAGAAACAGTTTAAACCTTCTGTAGGTTATTCGTGCGGGTGATCTCGATAACACATATCAGGGTCAGGGTCATCGAGTGCGGGTGCTTTTCCGAAGATCATTCTTTAGCAACGATATTGAAACAATCCAGTCTCTTTGCAATACGTGTCACCCATTTTTGGGCGATCAAGCAGTCAAACTGTTAATTCATATAATCTAACCAAAGACGGCTAGTCGCACCGTTTACGACCTGTAGTCCACCTTCTGATTGCACATCGTCTGTCAATAATCAGAAAGTCTCCATCAGTAATTTCTAATGCTGCGATTAATCATCCTCCGAACGTTTACGTCATAAACCCAGCACCCGCGAAGAGCACTCAATGCCTACGCGATTAGCAGTTGTTGGAATTAATAATTCCGACGAATAATGGCCTCGATCGATGCATCTTCTCGTCGTTCATCCGGTTCACGCGTCATTTTCGGCCGGGCTACACCGTCGAATGAGGCGGGAGGTAGGAGAGCGAACGTGCCCGCGGCATTTTAATCGGCGAACGTTCGATATTCATGAGCAACAAGGGCGGGGGGAGACGGAATAGCGATGTTTCGGATCGTCTCGAGACTCTGATACCGGAGGCGGCGCACCTGAGCCATCGTCGGGGGAAATGGAACCCGGGGGCTCCTCGATGAACACCCGGGCCAATAATTTCGAATTCCAACGGGCCTCCAATAAGCCGCGCACCATCCCCCGAATCGTGTCGCATTTTCTACGTGAGCCCGCTCGCGATCGACGTTCGGGAACAAGACCCGCCGGATTCTTCTTACCGGGGGAATTTAGATCGAGCACCTGTTTCGTGTAATAGTGACAGGGGGGAATCGGATCGATGGAACAACGCGTTTCCGGGCAGGGGATGAAGGGGGGAGATGATATTCTCTGGTCGGTAGGGGAGTTTTCCATTTGAAATTCGTTACGTGTTCGACGAACTATCCACTGGGTGTCCCGCAATACTGGCTACCATTCGGAGGCAGGTGTTTTCTTCACTGAAGTTCCAATCTGAAGAAAGAAGGAACGCTAATAACTTGTCCATAATTCGTTCTTTCTTCTACTTTTAAATAATGTCAGCGATTAAGGATCGTTATTTCCTTTCAGGGAACCTTATTCTATTTTAATCTGCTAACTGCATTTGTCCACCACAAGGGACGCCTTGTTTATCACTATGCGACAATATTAGGAATATTTCTTGACGATCGGGAGTATGAGACTTATTTGAATGACATCCACACGTTAGAAGAACGGTGTTAGTGCGACTACTAGTTCGTTATTTTGTCGAGAGAAAATACCTTGTTCATAAAAGGAACCAAATTGTTTTAAATGTTTTAAATAGTCCTGACTAATAGTAAAATACCATTGTCAATTTTTACAGATGTTACCATAAGTAGAACAAACTAGTAATGGTCAGACCCGTCCTCTGCTACCAGATAATCATGAAAAACGTGTCATGTTTCACCGACTTCCTCTTCAAATGAGGTATTCATCTTTCATTCTCACAGCGAACGTGTTACATGTGGGTCTTGTTAACGTTTAGTAAAAATAATTCGAGTTTCTTGACGAAAGATCGACTTGATTTACAAAATGAATTCGAACGAAGAAGTATCGATGGAGAATCCTTGGTAACCCAGGGTTTCCCTTCGATCACCGATTACCGTGTGATAATCGATATCCAGGAACGGGAAATGGCAGGAGGCCGCGTGCAAATGAATTACGGGCGACGCTTCTTCGGCTCGCTGATTTTCCTCTTGGTCTTATTAAGTCGCCGCCGCGTCGAACCGGCGTGGTTCGCGAAGCATGGATAATAAAAACTTGTAAAATCGCGACCAGGCGCAGCGACGGCGAGAGGGGAAGGCTAACAATTAATCTCCATTCATGCCGATTGCAGCATTCTGAGTTTTTCGTCCCCGGTTTGCCCGCCACTGCCGCGCTCCTCGTTTGGGAGTTATTCCCCTGGAAAAGATCCATGGAAAAGACAAGTCCCGGGGATGTCCAACGGTTTTTATCGAACGCTTCCGCGATTTAATCCGCGACCGTTATTCTTATTCGGTCGAACGGAATTATTTGGTCCGCCGCCGAAGCAGAAAGAACTAAATCGCGCTCGCGTACAGCGGCAAAGTTTTGGATTCGGCCATAAATAACTGGCTAAAAATAACAGTTGAGTTCGTATAGTAGATTAACATCAATAGTAAATGTACGGGCCTTTACGACGCCAGTACAACAATCTATCATTGCTTCAGTGGAACGAAAATTATCTTAATTGCATTTACGTGCCGACAATTCCAAGACCCGGATTAAATATGTAAAACGCTTAAAACGCTCCATTCCACTCGACTTCAGACTTTCACCATCATAAAATCACGGGGAAACAATCATAAACGATCGTCACCACTGTACGAATCACCCACGGGTCATCTTTTCCTTCTAACCTTCTCACTCACCTTTCCTTCCACCACCCTTCTTATTTTTCACTGTCAGTCATCCCTACTCTCCACCCCCTGAGTTACTTCCTCCAACATTCCCTAATAAGGAAAACTATGACCGCTACAACCAATCACACACCAGCTACACCCGCCTTTTTGCTATTTATTCTTTGCTACAAAACACACCCTCTAAAGGGCAACACTCTCCCTTTGAGAGAAAGATCCAACCAGACACTCGCCAGCACTCGTAGAGTACACATCGTACATACTTGTAATACACAGTGTAGTTTTGTAAATACACCAGTTTAGTAACTGACTAAAAATTTACTTAACATCCTCACATCTCATCCGAAAAGAGCCCTCATGTCGTTAATTTGCCGTGAGCGCAACGGTCATCGCGGTTTAAATTCACTCAAGCAATCAGTCGAGAGTTTTATTGCCGTACAGTAAAGTACCTTAAACCGATATAAATAGAAACCAGAACGACGAACGTTATTTACAGCATAGTTTAACAGAAATAATTGAAGCTTAGAGTATTTACGTAAACATAGAATTTTCAGGCGAATTTAAAGAAAGTGGAAGTAAACACATCAAGTTTACGAAGAGTTCACAGGAACTGAGATCAAACAGAAATATGTTTACCTTCTAAAAGGTTCCACCAGGCTTCAAATAAAATGAAAGTCTCGTTAAACGCGATGAAACTTTTTACCGTATTTAACTTTGGAAGATCGGATATGCTATAAATGCATAATAACTGAAATCTTCTTGACACTAGTATATGCGTGATGTAACCAAATGAAGTTGCAGAGAAAAATAAAGATCCCACCGACGTTTTTATTACACTTCGCACATTCAAGTCTACTACGAATGCATAAACTCTGCGAG